CGAAACCCGGGTATGTTTGAGCCGTGGGTTCGGCCTAATTACGTGGATAATTATCAGGCGGCTGATTGGTAGGCGGCGTTGGTGTGGCCCCTCTAATGAATATGGATAAATCGTAAGTGGCCCCTTTCCCCCTCCGCCAATATTGGTTTCCGGCGAACCGGTCCACGGGTGCAATATCGCTGATTTATGGATCCGATGGTTCCGGTTTTGGGGAACGATGATCATTCGTTGTGTGTTTATTCGTAGCACGTGAAAACTGTTTTTCCTAATCGTTCGGACGATAATCAATATGGAAGATTGTATTTTACAGAGTTATTTATTTAACCAGCTAACTGCATTTGTACTTATCACTTTGGTTACTATATCTGGAGCATTTCTTAACGTTTGGCACTACGATACTTCTTTAACACTAGAACTACCAAACCAGTGAAAATGACTGGTCAATACACTCTTACAACGACGATTAAAATATTACGGCAATAAATTTTCTCAGTTCTTTTGCGCCTGTTATTACGATATGAAAGTGAAAAAAGTAGTCAATTTATAAATTTTCAAAAATTTTTCACGTTCATCGAAGGAAATATGCGTTTATCGTCGGTAGTTCTAGTGTTAAATAACATCCACGAATTATTCCTTATTATTCATGCCTTCCTGCTATGGAAGACTGCAGGTATTAGGTACTACATTTATTTACAATATCTTCTATATTCCTTTTTATCCCAGGTCTAACTTCCCAGTATGATATAACGCAATGAAAATATGCAAACGAGTTAAAGATCGATCTTGGAACCCCCCGGAGAGCTCTCGTATAAGTGCGGGAGAAAATATAAACGCTCCACGCGAGTGGTAGCGATCACGTTTTAATTCGAAGGCTCGAAATGATAGTCTGGTGTCCCCGAGGGGAAAGTTTAACAGGCTGTTCCCCATGGCCGTCACGTTAAATATTGATTTTAAAGTGAAACAAGAAGCACGATACCTACCTCAGTGTATTTTTACGGCCGCCTCGCCGTGTTTCTCGAGGAGAGTGCTTAAACAGAGGAGTCGTCGTCCCGCCCGCCGGTTGATATAGACTTATTCGGCCAGAGAGGAACGTTCCCCCGGGGTTATATTCCCGTGGAAGCCAACGGGATATGACTGGGAAACAATATTCCCTATTCCGCGTGTCGCGACGAGGGGACAATAACTCGGGCTACGAAAAATTACTGCCACTCTCGTCTCTCTAATTTCCTTGGTCCCTGTTGAAACGCTCGACGACTCTTTATCGTGTTCCAGTCGCGACAAAACTATCAAAGAACATCGATAGACAGTCGTTACCGTCGTGACACGACACTTGGACGATGAACCAATGAAAAATATATATTCCGTCATTTTATTAGACTTTAACTACGTCGAGTTAACGGTGAATCGTTTGTTACGCTTTCATGAAATTTATCTTCTGGATGGTTTATGGAAGACACTGGAAGAATAAATGTTTTCTATTCTGTAGGTATCGTTAATTGACTCGGCGTGCGAATAAACACGTAGGGATACGAGATTCCACGAGGAATCTCTGTGTGTGTGCATTCCGAAATTGCAGAGTAATTTATACGTGATTTCCGTGGTAGGGCCTTCGAACGATCAGATGCCTCGAATAGCTCAACGGTCGCGTATCGTTGATCCACGGATCGGGCGTAGACGCGGTAATCCGGATTACTTATCCGTTCGCTGAACGGGATTTTCGGAGACGTGATACAAGATTGAGACAGAATGCAAATTTACATCGAGTCGAACAACACGGAATTCCTCCTTTCTCACATTATTGCTTCGATTATATCATTTATTATATTATTTAAAAAAATATATATACATAGTATATTATTTATAGATGGTGAAACGTGAATTCGTATTCCTTTGTCTTTCTGAAAAAGAGTGAAAATCAATAGATTCTGTAGTGGAACGAAATCTTTCTTCTGCTCACTCAGCTATTGGGAAGCAAATTATGCATTCTGAAAGCTCTTATTTTCAACATTCCTCCATTAATTTTGTACGAGTTTTCGTTTAAGTAGAATATTCCAATAGTTCCCAAAGTATTCTGTAAATATATTCCAGAAGTAACTGTATTCATTTAAGTACATCATTCTTCTCGTAAACCTGAAGTTCGACACGGTCGAGTTTCTTCACACAGAATCAAGTTTCAGCCAAGTCCTGAAGACGAATGCCAACGTTTCCCGATTAAAGATTTAAATCAGTAACGCAGAGCGTGTACAGAAGGCTAGTAATGAAATTAGACGAAACTCGTGTTCGGTTGAGACGGCGACGGGATTTTCGGTTTAATCCTTACACGTCAAAATTTCCTCTTAGAATTTACTTATTGCGGCGAGCGTGTAGCTTCGGGTTCGGCTTCAATTACCGCTAATGCACTCGCACAGTTTGTTCATTATAGAGTCTTGAAAGCGTACCTTAAACAAATTCAGGGTGTCTTGTACGATTAAAAGGGCTCGGAGGATTAAAAAAAGAAATCATATTCGACGAACACCAATGTTTTTTATCTCGTACTCCAACAGAATTGTCCCAATTTCGACGGGAGAATAATTATTAATTCACGAGGTCTTGGATACTTAAGAAGACTTAGGAATAAAAAGAAATTACGTTCGAAGAAGACGAATTTTTTTTACCTGAAATGCCAACAGAATCGTCCCGATTTCGACGGAAGAATAATTAGGGAGAGCAGAAGCATCAGGATTGCACTGGTCGATCGGAAAACGTTTCCTCCGAGTCCTCCGATCGTTCAGTCGTCAGTCACTTAAGTCGCCTTTCGCTTTCAACGACAGAGAAACGGTTTTGCCCGTCTTCTGAACCGGTATTTCGCTGGTCGCCGTTTCTCCATCGATCTCCGGCGAATTCCATTCGGTCTTCGTGATCAAAAGGAACTACGGACGAAATAGGAACATCTGGGTCCACGATTCTCTTCACCACCCCCTCCCCTCTTCACCCTTGTCGGTGTCGTCTATCGTTCGTAAAAATCAATTCCTTTTCGTACGACCACACCGCCAGAGGAACATTTTCCTTTCACATACGTATATCCGTCTTCTTCTTTTCTGCCTCGAATAATAGAAAAATTAGAGGAAAGAGGAAGAGATGTCGGGAGAGGATTGAAACAAGAATACATTACTCGGCGGTGCATCTGCTCGCCGAAACAGTATTTTCCAACCCCCGAAAAGTGAATAAAGCCGTGGTGGAAGTATATAAGGCGGAAAGAATAAGACCGCGTGTTCAATAAAATCATAGGGAGAAAGCATCTGCGGTGGAAAGCCGGTGAAAGGGATGAGGGAAGAGCCGAGCTTTAAGAATGTTTCGTTTTGGAAAGCCTCTTGTAGGGTAAATGTTTGGGCATATATCACCGATGGCGAATGTTTGGTCATTCTGTGGGAGGTAGAACGATCGGAATATCGAAAAGGAAAGGAATATTTTGGTGAACCAACCATCGGTTGATAGAAATCTTCTTATCTGTAAATTCTCGAAATGACTGTCTGGTAGAATAGTGATAAATGACAGAGAAAACGAGTTTATTCGGTCCTGAAATCCCTGTCAAGCTCCGAGTCTACGCGATTCTACCGGCATTCTGGCGCGCAATTTCGAATGCACGGAGGTCGAGTGGAAACGTTACCCTCACACGAACGGGACGGATGTAAACGTGGAAGCTGCGGAGCGTCAAGATTAGACGTTTTCCAGGTCTGAACGTAATACCCGACCCCGGCTGATCCCTTTATAGGGATACTTGGCGGTTTAAATGGACTTTGCTCCCGCGATTAGATTAGCGCTGGAAAACGGGCCTTAATTGTCGTATATTCCGGGGCATCTTCGTCGGAATATCTAATTAGACGCGTAAATAAACCACCGGATGAAGGCACTAAGACCCCGTGGAACATTTATTAATTTATTTACTCGAAGGTTCGTTTATTGTTTACTAAGTTTCTTTAAAATTATCTTGCCTGCGGATCATAATTAATATACAATGATTGCTAAACTTAAAATGTTTCGATCATGTTCTCGACATCTAGAACAGTAGAAATTATTTATATTTTGAACCGTTTTATATTCCACTGAAAATTATAAATGATCTAAGGAATTGTTATAGGTAGACTACAGATGTTTATGTATTTATAGCAATATTTAACATTCAAAATACAGCACAATACAAATTTTAATAATAGTCAATCATATTTATAGATCACTGTTAAAATAATAAGACATTGAGTACGAAAACTAAATTTCTATCTGATTTTTATGTTTGTAAATGAATGTCTAATTCACAGTCTAGTTATAACATTTTAAACATCGTTATAGGAGTGTAATAACCAATGATTTTTATTGCATTGGTAGTTCCAGTGTTAACATTCAAATGTTTACCATGCATACCCGTTTGCCGGGAAAGGATTTCCGACTTGTGATTCGTTATTTCATTTGCACTCGAGTGTTTTCCTCTATTGTCAATTGGAACATGCGAGAGAAAAAATTGGTACCGGCAATCAGCGAAACCAGAGTACTGCGGTTATTTGTTTTCACGGTTTTAATTGGTAATATAACTCTTTCGCGCCAATGGCGATCTAGGAAACTGATATTCGACTGTACAAAAATTTTAATCTATCTGGCTCCGGTGTTCCGAGAAAAATTATAGCAGCTGTCAGTGTTGTAGTACATTTTTTCGAGGTGTATAACAACAAAAAAAGCATACAGAATTATAAAAGAAAATAGGAAGTTTATGTAAATTCACAATTCTAGACACGAAAATGTAAAAATAAATATGCTACAGAATTTTAAATTTTAAACTAGAGGCTTCATTAGTTATAAATCATAAATAATACAAAACTTTATTAGAATCTTTATTTTATTTCCATTTTTATATTCCAAGTTAAATTGATGTTATAAATGCATAAATATCCGCAGTCTAGTCTAATATTAAATCGTTGCACATAACCAAGTGACCAAAACGATACTGAAGAATCGTTGTTTGTCCACAGGTGCGACAGGACTGACGGAGTTGACAATCAACGTGCCGGCAATGGTGCGATCGGGTGACACAGTGACGCTGTCCTGCCATTACGACCTCGAGGGATTGCCGTTGTACACGATACAATGGGCCTTCGAAGAGACCGAGTTCTATCGATACGTTCCCGATCGAGATCCACCGTACAACACCTTCGACGTGGACGATATACACGTGAACGTGAGTATAACCCACCGAATTGGCCACTAACAAATCTCACGAACCTTTCGTACTTAAACCCGTCCTACAATCTATCACAGGAGATACATTCCAACATGATAAAATAGTTCCACGTCATTTAAAAATCTTCAGCTGACTACCAGTAACGTAGTTCTATGCCATTTAAAAATCTGTAGCATTCATTATCTTGATTTAACCCTTTGCACTCGGAATTTCTAATTTTCCATTCATTTTGTCGCCTCAGAGGCGACAGTCGAGTGCAAAGTGTTAAAATTGTTGTTAGGTTGGATATTCTCTTTATATAATAACTAGCTAAATCTGTATAATGTTTTACAAACGTGAATTGTAATCCGTTATACTTTTAAATAGCAGAACCCTGCGGTATTTAGTTACTTGTGGAAATTGTACTCGGTATTCAGCTATCTCGCCGCAAAACCGCTGGCTGCGAATGTGTTAAGATATTAACAGGATAATGGAAGCGATTCGATGATTGATAGTGAACCACATCAAACATTCATCCTTCATGAAAGACCTGGTTTAAACTTCAGTCAAAAGAAGAGGAAAGGTTATTAACGAGAACCAACGAAATATGAACAAAATCGCAACGAAACTTTTATACAGAGACGACACAGTTTCCCGTTAATGCGAAACGTTGTTAATTACAGTCACGGGATAGTGTCTTCTTCCGTCGATGGGGGACGAGTGGGAACGAGGGGTGGGGGGGGACTTCAGCTCTCTTAACGAGCACTTCAATAAAAGTTTATGACGCAAATCTCATTAAGTTCGCGAGTCGTTCGTTAGATTCGGTGGCCGGTCGTCCGTGAAACACGACCGTCTGGCTTCTGGGAAGATTCGACCGGTGGCGGTGGTGGGAAAAAGGGGAGAGAAACAGAATTATAATCAGGCCAAATCGAGCAACGCGTTCGATCCAGTTGAACATTTTTCTCGGCGATTTTCGGCCCGTGTGTCAGGGTTAGTAAGTGATTTTGTAGTTTAGCTAGGGAATAACGATTAGCATCAAGTATTGCATTAAAAAATATACGATTCCGTTTAAAAAGATAAAATTTACCTTATGTAACCTCTGATACCATTTAACATTTCTTGAAACATTTTTTAATATTGTCAACAATTTCAGAGGTATTCGGGTCTATTTAAATGGGGCACCTTGTATACTCGAAGAATTAACGAACGCAGCTCGAGGCGATACCATCGTTTTTTATTCCACAAAAAGGAAACGCTAGGATCCATGTTTCATCCTGTCTCGATGTCAGCGATCGAACTCGTAAATTCGCCGAAAAAAATTCATGAGTGTCGTCGAAATTCGGGATCACTTTGCATTTACGCCGTTGTTACGAACTCTGGCTGGAAATAGCAACAAAAATCTCTTTCAGTTTTAATCCTCCGATGAAACGATCGTGCTGTTATTACGTTATATTGGGGATCGGCGGGAACGTTGGGAAAATTCGAAAAATTCGGCCTGCCACGAAAGTTCACCGGCTATAATTTCCGATCGTCGTGAATTCCATTCCGCTGATAAATCAGACCGTGGAGAGCGTTATTCACGGGAAATCAGGCCCACGCTGGTGTCGACGTTGCCAAAAAATTGAAAAAAAAAAAAAAATGGCGATTTTCTTTTCCGAGGCGATACAAGGACGCGTCGCGACGATCATTTATCAGTCCTCTGGTTGCTGTTTCGAAACTGAGCGGAGATAAGGCCGAGTGGCGTCACGATTTTTCCAGCTAGCATATCGAGGACGTGTCCCTTTTTATCGTAGAGTTTTTACGGAGTAACACAATATTTTGTGTAAATAAAAATATATAAGGTGAGTCATTTAACACTTTGATTGCCACGTCACCGGAATATGGTTGCCCCGTATATTGCAGAGGCTGGATTATTTAAAATTGAAAAATTAACATTTTTACGTAAAATTTAACATTGCAGTATAATTTAAAAGAAAACCAACAGCCTGACGAATTGTTTCGAGAAGAAAATAATTTCATATATGATAATATACTTTGACCTGATATATTTCAAGAATATATTAGATTCATCGATTTAAATGATGCACCCTGTATATTCCTCTCTTATTTACGGTGCAACGAAAACATAGTCACTCGAGAACTGTTAACCGTTAGTCGTACGATCGCAGAAATTGGCACCGGAGGGAATTGCAAGGAACTCGAAGCAAGGCAAGAGTAGTTTGTATGCACACTGTTACATTCGGGGGAGCAAAACTTTTAAAAAGTGCCAAACACGGGGGAAATACATACTTAAGCGGAAGTTCGGAAGGTACGTACATACAGGGTGTATTTTGTCCCTGGAAACACTGCGCTTGATAAGAGTCTTCGACGCTCGTCACGAGTGTGAAACTTTTTTCCTGCACCACCCGTCCCACCACGCGGGGACGGAGCACTCTTTCACATCGTAAGTGCGAAGGTAAAACGTGTCGGTGCGACTGGCCCGAAAGACATCGATAAGGCTGATTTATGGCGCGTGCTACGACCGCGACACGACCCCTTGGAATTCCGTTCGAGTGGATTTGAACCTGGGTCAAGCGAGCCCCGTGTTTTACCCTCATCGATCCTCCCGCCACCCCTCGCAACCGTCCGGCCACATCATCCCCTTGCCACTTTTCTTTCGATCCGCGGCTCTTTTTAAATATTTACCAAGCGAACGTACGACCGCGATTTTTGAAGTCGTCGGGGGACCTGATTTATCGAGGCGATCTTTCGGAACTGCGGTAAATGCAATAACTATTCGCAAGTCTGAGTATCTTGTGATGAATATTTGTTTCTTATTTATTTATTGCTGCAAGTTAATTTTAATTTATATAATATACAGTTACGTATATTTCATGGTAGTTGAATAATTATGTCGTAATATAAACGAATCATGCTGTCTGGAGGGTAGTACAATCGGACAGAAGGTGATTTTATTAGAAAACTAAAGTGGAAAAAGGAGAATAAATTTTTTTCTTTTCGGGGGTTTCGTTGCTGAGAAAGTCGAATTTGAAGATTAATCTGGAACGCGTGTGTTCGTTATGGTAGTAAGTAGAAACGGAATGCAATGGTCAGACACGTTGGTGACTCTTATTCTACTGCCCTTAGGGTAAATTTCTCAATTATTGTGGGTGTCCCTAATACAGTCATTTTGTTTACTTCAATATTCAAATATTCTTTCTAATGAAAGTGATGTTAAATAATATTATATTCAAAACTAAGACAATTATTCGGTTAAAAAAATTTTTTACAAAAATTTTGCATTAAATAAATTCTCAAATTCGTTTGTCCCGAAAATGAACCCACAAACGAAGAAATGTATTTCTGTGATACGTACATCGAACTGGAAAATTATACAGTTATTCATAAATTCTGATATTATTATAGTCGTAATATCATTCATCGCGCAAAAGATACCTTTGTGGAAAGCCGCTATTATTTCAAACGTTTTATCACGCTGAAATAATTCCAGACACCCGGGACGGGGCGAGTATAAAATCAAGAAAACCGTGAAAGTCGAGGGGCCAGGAAGAAGCCAGTGTCGCCAGGCCGTGGCATCCGAGTGACTCCGTGGTTTGATCAGCACCGTAAATAAGTAGTTCACCTTCCCCGGAGCTCCTTGAAAATTTCCCAAGAGCTGAGCGAGCTAAGCTTTCTTATTATTACGTTTCGCGTCCCCCTTTGGCCGGGGATAGTCGTTCGTGAAATCCGTCCTGACGCGAACGACAGACGCCTGGAAAGACATCTCGGTGATATTCCCACTTTTTTTACGCTCATCGTCCTCAGTTTCTTATTCTTATTTTCATTGATTTGGACTGCTTTTTTCTGTACAATTATCGTGAAAATCTTGGAATGTGGTTAAGGAAGATGGATAAACGCTTCATTCTGATTTATCTTACGAGGATTGATCTCTGATCTATGATATTTGATTATGTATGTTACCAGGAATGAAGATCATTGAGATAGTAATGACATAAATTAAGAACCCTTGGAAACCATTGTAGCTCCATATAATTCACTTAGGAGAAAAAGTGTCGTTGTTCCAACGTCGACAATAATAGTTGTTCCATGACCAAGTCCCTCAGAAACCGACGTCCTTGTACAACGTTCGTTGTCCAAGAGCTCAAAGGAACTTTGTTAACGTCCTCCTGGAAAATATGCTCCGGGGAGTTGTACCCGTTAGAACCTCAACTATCGGTAATCAGGGAAGAGCACCGAGGCGGAAGTTCACGAAGGAACACGTGACGATGAACACGGAGGTCACGATGTTGAGTTCAAACTGATCCAAGTTTCCATCGGACCGCTGAACAATGAATTTTTGTAAAGGGGAATTCGGTAGAAAAACGGTGGCCCATAAAAGCGTTCATAATAACGAGAATCGAGCAATAGTTTTTTTTCTTTTTTTCTTTGTTTTTGATACCCATACTCGATCAACTGTTTCCGATTGAAGAAGTTTAAAGCCGGTTACCCACCATTGGGGTTCCGGCCGAAATATCGCGAAGCGAAATCCGATCTGTTTTCGTGCCAATAAGCAGGCAAACGGGAGTCGTTTCGACTCTATTTACCCGCAGAATCATAAAGGAGCAGCACGGAGTTAAAAATATCTCCGTTCGAATTTGTTCAACGACTGAAAAAAATGAATAGCAGGGAAACATCGAGAGGACCTGAATGGATAATGATCATTTGCTGCATTGGGTCTTTGCATACGAATATATATATATACATATTTCATTACATTTTTGTATACGAATTCAATTGAATCCTGCACTCTATTAGCAACGTGAAACAAGTATAAAGTACATTTGCAAAAATTGACATTTCGACTGCTACAGTGAATAAGACCGTACGTAGCCAGACACAGTTTATTTTCTACGCACTTTAAGTACTTAAAGGCAGCAATCGATGATGCTAATTTCTTACCTTTCATTTGCTCTCCTCTCAAATTTGAAAAGTGAAATTTACTACATTCTTGCTCTGGGGTCCAGACATCTGTTTAGTTAAGACAGACTATTGGTCTATGTTGTAAATTATACTGCGATATTAACTTTACAGAAAACATTGTAACAATGTTTAAATAACCCAGTCTCTCTGCAATGTACACCCACGAGCAAACTCGACTTCCACTAGGGGAAAAATCGGCGTAGAAGAAAAGTCTTCTACCACTTGGTAAATTTATTTCAATTACTGAAATAAATGTTAAAACGAATGTTAATTTGGTACACATTTCAATAATACCCGATACCAAATGGTAGGAGGCCCTTACTCTTACGCCACTATTTCCCCTAGTAGAAGCCGAGTTTGCTCGCCGGTGTACGTGCATTGTGATCAAAGTGTTAATAATCCCACCAGTTCAGATTTCACAAGAGAAAATTGATGTACACGATAGGACAAAGGTAAAGATTCAACCGAGTCAGTTTAAAATGAGAGTTTTAGAACCAGCCATGACTTTAAATATAAAACCCGGCTGACGAGGACGACGTGAAAAGTCCGCCATAAATCCGGAACGGAAGATTCAAATTCCCTGACCGTGTCGGGCTCGAGCTACGAAAATAAACGGGCCGCGGCGGGGCGTAAAAGTAACGATGGCTCGTATAATATTTACAGGAAGAATGTACAGTGTACAGAGGGGAACGATAGCTGAATAGCCAGAGACATTCCACCTGACCGTTCGGCTATGATGCAGCCGTAGTTAGAGCGGAATTATGTCAGTCCAATACGGCGATAACCTCCGGTGGCGAGGTGGGCCGTACGTCTGGACGTAACCGCGCCGATAATCCCGCCTTTTTATCGCCACTTAGGTGTATCCGTTTTTATTAGTCATTACACGTTATCACGACACTGAACCTGAACAAACTGGCGCGAGCGATACGGCCGTCGTATAGATCTACCATCGAGCACCGCCACGATTTCGGTCTCTGCGCGAATGTTTAAACAGAATGTACTTCAAGGATACGATGCTTCCTTCGATTATCCGATTTATCGAAACCGTTCCACGTGTTCTATCCAGTATTTGATGTTTGAGAAATCCATCCTTCAAAGGATTTTTAAAGATACGATGTTTCATCGAGGTTCGATTATCCTATTTATCGAAACGTTCCACGTGTTCCCTCCAGTATTTGATGTTTGAGAAATCTATCTCTCGAAGGATGTTCGCTGGATATTTATTTCGTCAGCCATGAAAGTTTAAACGGAATATAATTTAATACCATGTTCTATCGCGATTCGAGTATTCTATTTATTCAGATACTTCATTACTCCTTCTAGTATTCGACATTTAAGAAATCCATCTCTCAAAGGGTGTTCTCAGGGTTTTATAAGATACGATGTTTCATCGAGGTTCGATTATCCTATTTATCGAAACGTTCCACGTGTTCCCTCCAGTATTTGATGTTTGAGAAATTTATCTCTCGAAGGATGTTCGCTGGATATTTATTTCGTCAGCCATGAAAGTTTAAATGAAATATAATTTAAAGATACCATGTTCTATCGCGATTCGAGTATTCTATTTATTCAGACACTTCACTACTCCTTCTAGTATTCGACTAATTTCGACTTCTCAAGGTTTTATAAGATACGATGTTTCAACGTGGTTCGATTACCCTATTTATCTAGACATTCCACAACGTCTTCCACCTAGTATTCGATGTTCGAGGAATCTATCTCCAGGAGGATGTTCGTCGGATTTTTATTTCGACCGGTGGTTTCGCCGATCGCCCGTTAAACGTGGGAAATTCGAAAACTACGACGCTTTCGGAAACGACGGTTCGATTTGGGCACAGGGGTAGGTAGGGTGGCTGGAAACACTGGCAAACGTTCTATCGATGGCTAGAGGGGGTGTGAGATACTTTTACTACAGCCGATCGAACGAGTTGAAATCTGATAGCGTGGGCAGACTTCGAGGAAGTTTCCCAGCCCTTCGTCTTCGTGATATCGTTCCCGGCGAACTTGATTCCGGGCCGTTATAGGATGGATACGCTAGTAAAGTGTAGGTATATTTCTATCGATGGAGAGTCCTTCGACCACCTCGGTTCTACTTCCTCGAATTCGATTAATTTCCTACGGAATGCCATTTTTCAGAATATCTCCTCGGTTTCAATTAATCTTCCAAGAGTTCGCCATTCTCCAGACATTCGTCGTCTTATCTTTCGATCTGAAATTTGTAGTTATTTTTCGTCCGGGGCAACTCGATTCTCGTTTCGAATGCATCGACGGAAATTTGCATTCCACCCGATCATCGACCTTCCTGTCGAACCCTATTCACGTCTAAATCTCGATCGGACTGTGTACCCTTTTTCCAAAGGGGGAGAGGGAGTAATCATTTATATGCATCGCAGGCAGGTCGACCCCATGCCTGCTGTACAAACTACACCGGATGCGGGGACTAGTCCTTTTCACAGTCTCTCTTTCGGTCTCAACGGAAGTGTTAGACGACTGGTCGAAAGAGAATCGATCCCCTTGAATTCCTTCTTGAACGCTGAAACGTGTCCCCTGAGACACCTGGCGCGCATTCAGTGACCAAGCGAACCTAGGACGACGTTCTCGAAATTCACGTGCATCGTTTCCACTTTCACGTGCAAATTGTATTTAGATATCTCTGCTAGGACATACTACCTAAATACACGTTTACGTTGATCTTAACCCTTTAAGCGTTCATTTTGAAAATGTGCACTTGTGTATTTAATTAAGCAGAGCAAATGCATTTGCTGTAAAATTGAAATTAAATCAGGAATATGTATTTTTGTTATACCTAAAGTTTACTTTAAATAGCAAATGCAAATGTTTGTTTAATAACGAGTATACTTAACCCCTTGCCATACGAATTCTTTTACGACTTCACTCTCAAGATTTTACTTTCTTGTTAATATTTTCCCAGATACGAAAGAAATTCTATTCTTATAACAAGTGTTACATTTATTCTAAATCTTAAATGTTAATACCAGCGAAAGAATATTTCACGACGACTCGAAGGAAACGAATAATATACATGTTTACTAAATTCAGTTTGATATCGTTATGACGTGTCTGACTCGATGTTATAAGGCAAGGGGTTAAACAAAAAAAATTCCATCCTTTCATGACAAGTAAACTCGACATAATCATCGAAAGGGTTAAAGTGTTGATCAAAGGTATCGTTCTGTTCTGCAGGTGACAAAATCGAACACACATGATGTGACGCTCGTCGACGTGTCCAGGAACCTGACAGGGACGTACAAGTGCGAGGTGTCGGCCGGACCTCCCTCTTACCACACTCGGATCGCGAGGGCCAGAATGGAGGTCGTAGGTGAGTGGCTCGGACGAGAATTAAAAAGTTTCACCGTCGGGCCAGACAAATTCCTCATTCTCGATTCGGGAACGGCGTAATGCGCTGCACGTGCGCAGCGGGGCTACGTGCGTTCCATTTTCATGTCAGATTTTAGGGATCGACCGGAAGAAACGCGCGACGGTTCTTCACGTTCTTCCGGAAGAACGTTCTGAAACAGAAATTCGAATGCCACCATTGCTTCCATTATATTACCTTGCGAACAGTTTTTAATAATTGTACTAATAATCTGACATTAACGTAATAGTCGAACTAATAATTCACTTAATCCTTTTTTTTAAATCACCCAGTGTAAAAGTTCTAACTCGAAAATATGACAAGTCATGAAAAATTACTGCCTGTTCTCTCAAGGTTAATAAAAATAGGAACCAATAGTTAATGCTTAAAGCCTATACGTATTAGCTAGTAGCAAAAATAAGCATATTGAATTCGATAGTTGGATGATTCATCGTGTGTTCGATCTGGATCGTGCTAGTGAAAAAAAATGTTTACGCAACATTCCTCGGTTAGCAAGGGGATGACCGCTAGGCTCGAGTTCAAGGTGGGCCTGTCTAGTTCTCTAAGTGGGGGCATACATACTGAACGCCTAGGGCCCCCCACTACTCGACCGCCACCTTTCGGTGGGCCGATCTTAGCCGAGTCCCCATTCATTCGGCAACTAAACCATTCGTCGTGTGTCGGCACTACTTGGTGGGTCATTCATGCGGCAGTTCGATTGTTCATCGCGTCACCTAGACAAAGGGCCTTTTAATGTAGAAGAGTGAGTGTAGTGATTTCTATATCCTCCGTTTGGAGACAGATGAGCAGTATACAGTGACTCGCAATAATGTTCATGGAAGGATGGAACATTTACTCCATTAAATCAGGTACGTACCAAGCTAAGAATCGTATTTACAAAGTGAGAATAGTTAATATATAAATATAAACTGCGTAGAAATTTCTACTGTTAATTGCAATTTGGATAAGTATATGAACGAATATGTGAGTCACTGTATCTGACAAACGCAGTCACTTGCAGTACAGTTTTTATTAGTCATTTAGTGATCGTGAGTAATTGGGATCTAGAGGAGTGAATTTACTAGTTTCCCCATCCTTTGTTTAGAGACAGTCGAGCAGTTGATCTGATAAACACAGTAACTTGCAATACGGTTATTATAACGAATATAAATAATATAATTATCAATATTTTTTGAATTCATAATCCCAAGGCTCTCCATTAACTTTCTATTTCTTTTCCTATAACTCGATCATTTCCAAAAATATTATCGTCAGACCAGAATTTCCCCTGCTTTTAGTAACGGAATTTAACGTTCTCTCGACATTCGTGGATCGAGCAAAAAAAAAAACTATATAATCGTACGGAGGACATTATCCCTTTCTCTGGTGAAAGAATAGCCGGATATAAGGGGAAGCCGGGTAGTACAGGTGTTTCCGGGGTGGCAACCCCTGTCAACCCGCTGGTTCTCGATGGTCCTGGCTACTGGCCAGACGTCGAGTTAGCGGCGTGCCGGCAGTCGTGTGTGCTAAACGATGTAATTATTATGCCTTAGACGCCCCAAAAACGGACCCGACGATCGGGATCGAGAAGGAGCGTATAGCGGTGGGAGAGATATTCCGGGCGAATTGCACCACCGGAAACTCGAGGCCCGCCTCCGCCATTACGTGGAAGCTGAACGGAGAGCTAGTGAGTATCAAATCATTTCGTACAAGCTCTTGTGTGTATGTATTTTGGTCGACAATATGCAGGATATCCCACCTAACGTAAGCACTTTAAATATCTCACTTGCTTTTGATTTACAGAAAATTTATTTTAATAAATGCTTAAAATGATGTCCATCAACTTTGACAGATTCTTGCACTGATCCCTCTGTCGTAGTTACTTTATTATTTAAATCTACTTTCATACGTTTATGGATTTTTCGTACTCAAATGAAGGTCACACTGTATTAGGTCATTGGTTTCAATTATTACGCCTTGCTGATAGAAATATCTAGTCCTATGTAAAAAAAAACATCGTAACTTTAAAATTTCGAAAAATATTACCTTGAGGAAATATTTTTCTTATCATAGTTTTTACGCCATCTAACCAAATAATACTTTCTACAAAAACAAATGAAATATTGAAGATACTCACGTTTGGTGGGACACCCTGTATATTTCAACAAATTGAAACGACGTATCCATTTTATTAGGCAAAAATCATGACATTTGTAGGAATCTGCACGGGTATACACGAGGGAAACTGAACAAATTTCAGCGTTTTTTGTTTCGTTCGGAAATTCCGATATATTCGAGCTTCATTTTCTAGAGAAGGGTGTGAGGGTAGGTGGGTATCGTCTCCCGAGCCGAGCGAATGAGTTTTTCCCCGATTTTCCAGGTAATTCGAATTGTTGATTTTATACCTACGTGTCCACGGTTCCCCAGTCCGCGTGAAATAAAACTTCCCAGGAATGGTTTTCGCGGTACCGCAACAATAACGGGACGCGATTATTTCGAGTGAATTATTAATGGCCGACGATATTACCCGTGGAACGGTGGCGAACGTCGTATACCTGCACGAACACACACACACACTCGGTTCCCATTGTGACGGATTAATTAATTAGGGCATTTGATGCTTCGCTTATAATTCGTAATTAATTTGCACGCGGCCAACGAATTATTCCGGTTCTGTGTACGCCCCGGCGTGTAAACAACGCGTGAACATTTCAGTTCGGTTTGCACACGGATAAGCGTGAAAGCGTGTTTTGTACGAAAATTATCATCGATCGTGACGTGCCTTGAGCCAGTCCGGCCGCGATGATCGATCATGGAACGAAACTTCTTCGGAGAAAAGGAATAAATTTCGCTGGAGGACTTGATATCATCCTCTGCATACGAAACCGTCGATCCTCCGACCATTGATCATCCCGGCAAATCTCTCGTGCGAGGGTAATTCGATGTTAAGAAGCTTGGGTGAAATATGCTCCGACCGAATTTCCTTATGAATTCCGGAAACAGTGAGGAAAAAGGGAAATATATCGACGGAAGCTACGGAGTTTTGGGTACGAGTTCAGTTCGGAAAGAAGTACTTCCTTTCTTGATAAAATACGAAGAATGTAGATTATTACGGATTGAAATGTGTACAGAGATCAGATTATCATTTATGGAATTATTTCGATATTGTACCGAGTAAATATACATCGTGACTCACAGATTTGTTCACGAAAGGCTGTCACATTTATTTCACCAAATTACGTATCAAAATTGGAATAGTGTTTTCAGATTAAGAAAAATTGATCACGAAGCCACGATAACTGTAAAAATCACGAGGACACATAAATAGAAATTGCATAAAAATTTTTGCAATTAATTGGAATTTGGAAAGTATATGAACGAAACACGTGAGTCACTATAAATAATTCAATGCTCGATATGGACAGACATTCTAGTGACAGAATAAACAACGGAAGGTCTAACGATAAACTAATGATCGTCGTTTTGCCCGTGACATCCCTTGTATATTTCTTTTATGTCCTCGTAGTCAGGGTTTAATAGACTTCATTCTTTCCTGTGGACATCCTACGACAAATCCCAGAGAAAAACCGGCCGAGGGTGGAATAGGTATATTTACCAAGAAAATCCTCGTAACAAATTCCATAGAAACTCCATCCTACATTCGGCTGATACAAATGAATCGTTTACAGAGATTAGCAGGGAGACAACTAAAAAAAATTCGCCGATAGTATGTAGAACCGAGTGGAACCTCGAACTTTTATTTGGGCGATTGAATTTTATCAAAGACGTTTATTTGTCGGTGACATTTTCCCCCATCTTTTTAAACCGTTCAGAGGTCAGGCTTTCCCGACTGCATTCGCAAAACACACGGAACGCCGCAATATGGAAATTCGTCCATTTGTTCCATTGAGCCTGAGTTAAATCGAGCAACGAACCGGAAATAGGAGAGAAAAAAATAGAGGGGGATGAAAGGTAACGAACGGAAGCAATCGGCGTTCCTTCGATCTGGCGTTGTTTTTCGTCGATCGAAAATATATAACTCAGTCGGTCGGGCATTGTAACCGGTTAAACGCGCCGTAGCTACGATTTAACGGAATAATTTGGTTGATTTAACAAATACCACGGAATAACGATTTATTTGCATACGAGGCATCGCAACCACCCTCCTCGCTGCCCCCGATCCGCGTGGATATATCCCGATGGATCACGATAAATTTAATTCCCGTCGGTGCACCGTGTGCCCGAAACCTCGATCCACGTTGCGTCGCTGAAATGCGAAATAACTAGTTACAGCTCTCTGTGGGCTAATTGAAAAACAAAAAGTGGGGGCGAAATCGATAGAAAAATTCGTCCTTGTAAAAATTCTACCTTCGTTCTATGGGTGATTGAAAAACGTTTAATCGACATTATAACTAGACTGCGGATTATATGCATTTATAGCTTAAGTACCTGGTCAAATTAATATTACGCCTTATCTACATTAACTAAAATTTCACTAGCATCAATTTTCTGAAGCATAATAATTATTTTTTTATATCAATATGTTTTTAGTATTATTATGTTGTGTGAAAGTAGAGGCACTGGTTTTTTTTGCATTGGCAACACTGAAAAGAACAAATAGTTTTTTTTTATAAAATTTTCAAGTGGTCATATTAGTTTTTCTTCTGGCTGAAATGTCTCGACGAAGAATATCAAGGTTCTCTGTAACAACATTACGTTCCATGACAGACGCGCTCAGTGACAAGAAAACGTCCAGCTCGTCGGTGAAAAAGGAAGCACGTAAGAGGGAGTTATGTCAGTAAGCTATTAGCCAGGGACGTGTTCTTAGCAGTGTTCAAGCTACGAGGAAAAGTTCGCAATTGGAGGACTCGGAAATCCTACGAAACGTTGCCCAAGGCTTAAATGGACCGCGATGTCGTGAAGGAAACGACGCCATCGTTATTTTCTCGACGACTCTGTCTCTCTGCCCCTGCACTTTTCCGTTTTCAACTCGGATTCTCGTTGACTGGTCTGCTGTTTTCGCGAAACCCTTTACAGTCGACGCTCGATTTGGTTCGCGAACAAATGGCACTTTTCACATTCAAATGGTAACATTTATATAATCAGCAAATCTCTGGTCTTATTACGTTAATCTGCCTTAGTAGTAATCTGTAAATAAGTCAGTAATATTAAGTCAAACAGAAAGAAAGCTAATTTACAACAAAATTCGTTTGAAATGTATTTAATAGGAATGATCCACATGAATCCAAACTGACTCACATCAAAATCGTCCACCTTTCGAGGTTTAACACTTTGCTGGCGGGAGGATTTACAATCGTACGCTCAGAGCGGATTAAAAATATTTATAAACTAGTACTTAACTTTTATTTGGGAAAGTTTGCACACAGGAAAAGCGATTTTTCCCTATTTATTACTATTCCAGTTCTAATTTAAAAAAGACGTAATACTACGTCAACCACTCTCAGCTTCTGTTTTCGAAAAGACGTCCCACTAACCAATCGTTCTCAGCTTTCATTTTTGAAAAGAAGTTCTACCACGTCCTCCGACATCAAATTATTAACATAACACCAATAGTATCCCTAATTCAAATATCTATTTCAATAATCTATCAAAAAAGTACTACCACGTCCTCCGGCATCAAATTGTTGACATAACACCAATAGTATCCCTAATTCAAATATCTATTTCAATAATCTATAAAAAAAGTACTACCACGTTCTCAGACATCCAATTGTTGACATAACACCAATAGTATCCCTAATTCAAATATCTATTTCAATAATCTATAAAAAAAGTACTACCACGTTCTCAGACATCAAATTGTTGACATAACACCAATAGTATCCCTAATTCAAATATCTATTTCAATAATCTATAAAAAAAGTACTACCACGTCCTCCGACATCAAATTGTTAACATAACACCAATAGTATCCCTAATTCAAATAACCCAGCAAAAGCTTTTCATCCGATAATATTTACACTGTATCCAATATTCCGAACGGTCTAATTGTAATTACCACAGTCCAATCTGCAGCATAAAAAACCCGCAAAACTATCCTGTCCCCCGTTCCGAAATTCCTCTATCACACACAGGATTACCATTTCGTCCGTACATTCGAGCCCGTTCGTTCGTCACGTGTATAATTCATCGAGGACGATTTTAACGCGCTCTTCGATGTCTCTCCGAGCGGTCCGCGTTTCCGCGTCGATAGTTCGACCCGTGGCTGTGCCAGGGATAGCGAGAGACAGAGAAATAGACAGAGATTTATTTGACGAATTAATTTTGCCGGGGCTCGACTACCAGGAAATAAATTCGGTCGGTTTATGGGCACGGATCGGTTATAATTAACGCGTGCCCAGCGACGAGTTGAGAGCAGAATTTAGCTCTGCGAGAGAAGAGGGGTCGATTCAGTTTCTCGTGACGAGGGCGGTTGAAGGGGGGGCGGTGGGGTCAAAGCTTGAAACGGGTCCGTCGTCTCGAAGCGTAACTGAAAATTCGCGTGTCTAGCCCCGACGCGCCGTAACAATGGCCCAGCCTGGCAAAGTGCGCCGAGCCAGCAATTTCACCCTGCCATTTTCGGTTCCCGGAGCTTCACCGAGTAGCGAACTCTGATGCGTGTCACCCCGTTACTCCCCGAGAGGGAGGACCGAGCTAACCTGGGCCATTGTCGACAACTTTCTCTTA